TCGTAATGACATCATTAGTATAAGTGACTTGACATCACATGTACTGTAAGATGTTGGGGGGTAATTAATCAATGTTAATATCTCAGTTACACTTCAGCCATGGTACGAACACCTGAGTGGTAGTATCAAAACTGTGAGGACGAGAGACGTAGGCTCAAATTCCATAAAGAGTATCAGTCCCCTGAATATTGCGGTATATGCTTTCTTTACGAGTATTGAACAGTACGAAAACCAAGTCCAGAGTTTTTCAGTGACGACCTCTAAACACCGAATATATACATACGCCTGGTATCATCCCTTTCACGTAACCACTTACACTCTATGCACTTAAGTCAAAACCGGCATGAAAACCCATAGTTCTCATCTTCCAAAAATTTAATACTGACTGATTTAATTTAAAACTTTGGTGCATGGTTTGTATTGGCCTTTGTCCTGAAAATATATGGACTTGATAACTATAGAACCTTGGGTGAAAATTTTTGGGAAAAATTATTTCCTCAAACGGTTGACTTTGTTTGTTTATTTTATAAATGCTTAGTAAAAATTTACCAATTTAAATTTACATAATAGTAGTCACACTCATATATATATATATATATATATATATATATATATATATATAGTCTAAATACCTGTAGGCTCATCAGAATGTTGAATACGTGATCCAACTTCATCCAATACATACCACATTATTTGTTGTAACTCAGGTACTTGTGATAACAATGACATATTCTCCTGTGTTGATAATTTGTAATATCGACAATATCTTCCAAGTGAGAATAGACAAAACATGGTTTAGAAGAGTTAAATAGATTCCTAGCAAATATGAAAATTATTATTAACCCACCAACTAGCTACAGACTAGTATACTTGGCATTGAGCCTATTACGATGTCTGAAAATTAAGTCCAACAACCAAATCTTACTTGATTAGAGAATGAATGACCACAAGGTAATTTCCTCTAATCGGCTATGACATTTTATTAATTAGGTATTTAAATTCTGTATATAAGCATGTTAAATTATTATGCCAAGGAAGTCCTAATCACTGCCTTCTCGCTGAGAGGGCATTGTGTAGGAAATTGAGGGGACAAAAAGCGAATGTCCGGCGCTTCAACCGGGTTGGTAGACACGAAAAGTTCACCTAGGGGAGTTGAAAAACCCTGATTCAAAACCAATAGTGCAAATGGGCTTCAGGATCCTGAGGAAACAAATGGCGTCTGAACCTATCGTTGGTCACCGGTTACAATGGAACTGCATCTCCTGACATTACTCCACTGCTTTGTGGATCAAACCCTCGGATCGAAGGCTCCGGGTGTGGCCCTCAAAGAAAATATCCTACTTCAGTCTGGGTACCCGTGCAGTATCACAGCCTACACATAAATCAAGTGACTTGTGTGGCGTATATGTATTCGGTGCCCCCTTGTACCAATATTTATATGTTCAAATAATAATAATAATAAATAAATAATCTACTTATCTAGCTAGTGGTCTTGTCTTTGATTTTTAATCATTAGAGAGCTTACATTAATAATGGTCTTGCAAACAGCCATTACTTGGTCATATTACATAATCGCATTTATCCGTCGACCAGCACTGAACTCATAAATTATAAAAGTCGAAAGTTCTCTGATCAGATGATCAAAAACTTTCTCCATAATAGTGGCGACAACAGTGAGATTCGAACCCCTTCGGGGAAACTCCAGAGGATTAATAGTGTTATTGAAATTACAGGAGGCGAACACACATCATATCTCAAGGTTTCTTGTTAGTGTACAGAGCTACACTAAACGATGCACTAACAAATTGGCGATCACCAGCGGAAGTCATCATGTGTCGCAGATTGAGAGCAATCAAGCATCCGATGTTACTGAGGTCTAACTATGGAAAACGGTACCATTGAAAACCTTAACATTCGCGACTGAAGCTGTTGTGTTCGCTCGAGATTACAGATCGAAGAATGACACATGGACAGAGGGGTGTAACGCTAAGGCTAGGCTAGGTGATGTACATGAGGGTCGGGAAAGACAAATGGACATGAAATCTCAATCAGTTACAGGAACGTATATCATGAGAATGTAGGAAAACAACAAGCAACTTACTTCCATACATTTTTACAAATATTTGAAGCGATATCCTCATTTAGTTGATTTAAAGTATTTATATTCATTAATGAAGCCATTCGTTCTAAGAGACTAGGAAGTTGAAGTAAGCACTCTTTCATAGATTGTACATCAAAAGTCCACGCATGGTCAACGAGAAATATACTAGAATAATTTTGTCAAAATTTATCATATCCTTGTTAGATTTTGCATACTTATTACTATCTGCTACTAAAAGTTGATCACTACAAACTAAAATATCCCAGTCACGATTAACAGTCAACTCTTCGCTTCCAATTTCATTATCACCTTCGTCGTCATTTGTATATTCAATCTGTTGCATCATAACACTTGTGTTAGCATCATATATCTGTAAAAAATATTATTTATGCAAAGTAACAAAATCAAATACAACAACACCTCATGTAAAAGTTTCTCGTGTAGTCTACGCCAAAAGTGAGCAGGAATTCCACTTGCTCTTAGTTGATCATCGTGTAATTTGATGAATTCTTTAAAGTCAGGCTGAGTAGTACCGTTCATTTGAATTTATTAATCAATTAGTCTAAAAATATAAAGATAGATGACGATTTTATTCATGAATATACTTGAGACTAACATGTTAAAGTATTCTTATCAATTTTGGACATATTCATAACGGTTTAGTGAATGCTATTCACTAAGCTTAACTAAATGCTCCTTAGTGCGTGCAAGTTTTAGAGCAGTGAAATGTTTGACTGCCCATCGATGGATGGGTATAAAAATCAGTATAACGTTCCGTTTTGCCTTACAACTATGGTCTATTAAAGCTAGTAGTAAATAGCATAATAGGTCTAAATGTACTTGAATAGAAAACTATCTGAAAAAGGAAAGTGATACTCAACAACCATGACAAGTTTGATTTACTAAACACAACGATAAATAAAAAAAGGATGGTAAGTGATACTGGTTGATAACACGAACCTTCCATTAATTTTTTTTGAAGTTAATGTTTGATCTGTTACTTAATGGTTAGAGGACTTGAATTTTAACAAATAAGTAGGAGTTTTGAACCATATATACTTCTGTTTACGTACCTCAGTAGTATATCTAGCTCTCAGAGTGTGGTTAAAAACCGAGTACAAAAAATGTTTATGAGTTGCAAGCAATTTACTATATTTTTATTTCGAAACAATTAAATAATGTATGGCCACAGAAACAGCTCCATTTAATTTGCCAACACAAGGAATTCCAAGGAAGCTACTGGAGTGCGAAAGACATAGCGCTTAGTTGATGCGTGGGGAGAAATGAGAAGACGGAATTAACTAGAGACATGTGATGAATTTTCACAACACATTTGAACAGTCTGATAACACGTATGCCTTGAAACGTACTTCATTGGAAAAATGTTGAACAAATACACAGTGATAAATAGGTACACAAGTAACAATGCAAAACATAACTAGTAAATTGTTATACTATTGCAGGTTTTGAAGTAGATGAAGGATTGTTAGGCCAGACTCACGGTGAACACCAAGTCAATCAGTAACAACGTCGAACATCGGTTGGAGTTGCCATACCATATTATCACAGGTGCAGTTGTCGATTCGTGAACACAAAGTATTTTTAAATGTACACTTAGAAGCTCCTAATAAAACCAACCTTGTGACCTGTCTCAATGCTTTTGCTGTCAAGATCCCTCGTTTTCTGCTCCGTGTATATACAGGAATATTCTAATCCATCTTGAAGATTTTTAAGCACATGAATCAATACCCTCGTCCATAGATTTTGTTTGCTTATCACTCATAGTTTCGACATGTATTTGAAATAATAAATACTAAACAATGTGACTTGCAAGATTCAGAGGCCTATGTGGATTTACAGTTTCAGTATTTCTGACAAAATACCAATTGATAGCATTGGTTTAGAAATTAATCCGTTTAAGTGTCCTACACGTGGTAACTGATTGTAAACCTTCGCCCTTCGATTAAAAACTAACCTGTTCATATATCGATAACTCCGCACAAACTAAAAGAAATCTGATAGATATATATCCATCAGATCACATATGCGATCAACATTGGCCCTGGAACTACAAGTCCCTTGTAACAAACGTCTTACTAAACCTAAGATTGCACGTAAGAAACGTGTTTTCGTTAACACCAGTACTGTTGAGCAGACGAACACTGTATAATCTATGACTCTGATTTTGTTTATGTCTTAGTTACAACGGAAACTGAGTTACCTATGTAAGACAGTGGAAACACAGGATTTATATCTGTTTCTATCATTCTATTGATTACATTTGATAGCAATTTAGACATTTCATCTTATCATGCTGCGCCTCTCCCAATTATCATTTCCGTATCTGTCTTTTGATGAACATTTGAACCATTAACAGTCAAACGATCAATAGTTTCCCTGTTAAAACTATTTACTATATTTGTTTACTTAGCCCTACTGTCACTAAGTCTAACAAAGTTCATCATCATTATTAATGTAATTGCAATTTCAGATATCATCCTGAAAAATGAGTATATACATTTGTGATTGTAACACTTCGAAAACCAATTCGCCGAACCAATCTTTCTTATTTGAGTGCATTCCGTTTGCAACACAAGGTGACATACCACGGTGATGCAAAGTAACACTACTATCAGAACACCCGCCTTCTCAATTCATATGCTAAATTCTATACTTAGTGCAAAAAATTTGATGGTCTGTATGATTACTAAGAATCTGAAGTTCCGGAGTTATTTTGTATTCTTGTGACTAATCTACAGAAAAAGCTGTGATTAACCAGTAGCAATAATGATCGAGCTTCACGCGCAACGGCGGTAGTTACAAATTTTACGGTTCTTAGACGCTGTTGTAAATTTGCTCAACGCTTGCGCTCGTGTGGTTTAGTTAAAACACCAATAAAATGTTGGATGTTGAAGTTGTCCCCGAGTTAGGGATACGACATAAACTTTGGGAGTTCGTTCTTGGGATGCCCATCCAACAAATGATTGACATTCTACGAAAACAAGATCATACGATTAAAAATGTTGATTTTTGGTATAGTGACAAGGATCCTTTCAGCATGAATTTGGTATTGGTATTACCTGGTGATGGCGTAAAATTTCACTTTGACCCATTTTTACAAAGACTTAGGGTTGGTATCCCTGTTTCCTAATTTTGTATAGATCATCGAAGTTTTTGATTTGTCCTCCATCACATTACGGTATTGGTAACTATGATTGCTTTTCGGCTTTACGGTTTAGGTCACAGTATTTTAACAGTCCATCTATCTTACCAACAATGCAGGAGGTTTTAAGAATATTCGGATCCACAAAACCTCTCGGTATGTAAGTGTTTAAGATTCTCTTAAAATGGTTATTGTGTTTGGTGAGGCCTCATTATTTCTGTGTCCTCCAGTCTGTGCTTGATTTCTTGACTTAAATAAAGTCCATTACACACAAACGGGACTTGAAAATAATCATGTGTACGTTCTGCCATAAATTCTTGCACTCATCAAAGTAGCCTGAAAGAAAAATGTGTGTTAAATGTAAATAATCAGATTTAGATTTTTATTTTGAGGACGAAGGATGTTGCATGTGTTTCTAGTCCTTTCGAATGAGTCAAATTACCATGATTATCATTACCGCATATCAGCAACTAGTACTGCTTCCCCTTCTTACACATTACAACTTAGTAAATCATTTGTTTCTTCTTGAAACAATTATCTTCTCTTAGAACTCGAATTATCACATTACAGCTAACCTCCTGCCTGCCAATATGATGGCTGCTGTCATCCGGAAAGACAACTTCACTGAGACAAACGCATTCACTACAAGATAAACAAATCCACAAACAACTACCACACTGACTAGAGTTAGTGCAATTGAGTGGCTAGACCACCACCTATTGGAAATTAACAAATTGCTCCGAAACATCAAGAAGTGATCGCAAAGATATCAGTCGATCTAGGCAGACTCGTAACAAAGATTTTGGATTGGACACCATAAATGACTCGGTTTGAAAACCAATGTTCCACAGTTATTTTATTCATTTTTGGCTTTTCAACTCGCCTGCTAACAGATACCTAGACTCATGGAGTTAATAGGTACTAAATGTGTAATCTCTAAAGTAACATGATTGAAATGCAAATATTAAAGATGCAACGTAATGCTCAATACATGAAGGAAGTATTCGAAATTAAGTCTGTTTGTAGACGAACGCACATAGTACACGTTTTTCAAGCCAACTTGTCGGAAAACCATAATATGTGGTTGTTACTTTGTCGTAATCTAACCGACTTCTCTGGTGAAACTGCTACTCAGTTCATTAGTTTGATGTCTGTGAAATTATTTTCTAACGTTTGCTTGCAGTCATATTAGTATTGTATATTAATTTATATGTGCTAATTGGGCTGGAAGGTCCGTTGACATATATTTCAGCTAATATATTTGGGTCAACTACCATAATTAGGAATCAAGGATATAATTAGCACTTGCTTCATATTTTATGGTCAGTATTGTCTTATTTTATATCATAATGAATCTTCAGGATTCACAATATATGTCCATAATTCAAGCATTTACGTTGCTATTAAGATACTATGCATAAACTTAGCATATTTTTAGATATTTTATAGTGAAGTCCAGTGATCAGCTGATATAGGATTAATCGTGCACATAGATACTAAGCTTCCAATTTTAAATTGGCATCACATTATACTTAACTAAAACTTTCGCGTATCCTCTTTCACCATTCACAGTCATTATATAATTTCTTTATATTAAAAACAGTCCCAGCGGAATCAGATGGTGACTACCAACTAACTTATCGAGGTATTACCTTCATATTGCGAAGGTTCTCTACTGGAAGTCGTGAATCGATTGATTCCAAGTCTGATCTACTTGCTACACGACTATTTATTTATCTGGGTAGTAATTTGGCAGAAGCTAAGTGAGTACTATTGAGTTTAGAAACATTATTTCTTCATTTTCACAGTTACTATTGTTACCATCCACATAATTTCTTTGGCATTTGAAGTAACAAACTTACTAGCACACCACTAGGTTTTCGTTGCGGTACTTTGAAACAAATACAAGAGAAACTAAGAAGAAGTAATAAATGAGTTTTTATTCAACAACCAGTTGTATAATATAATCTTCAGGGTTAAAAATGAGGTAAATAATTAGTGCCTGCCTAATACAATTGAGTAGTCGTACTTGGATTGATGACTTAGGTTATGCAAGTACTGACCGGGTCCAACGTTGCTTAACTGCGGTGATCGGATGAGAACCTCTCCTTTCAAACGTGGTATGGTCACTGGCTACTTGGACCGATGCATGTATGTGCCTGGTCCTACGTTGTAACTGACTGACTGACTGAATTTAGGTTATGAAATCTTAACTTCCTCGCTAGGGTCTGGATAATCATTCTAATATATATGGTTAGGAACCGTAAACAATGTGGCTGAAAATCGTTCTTGGTAGAGCATCTGTGTTCATTCTTTACCTTCTAAATATTAAGCTCAATGTGACTCCATACTTTTTATCTCGCTCATCCCCTTTGAATTATTTTTTTGGAATTCCCATTATAATTAATATTACTATTTTTCCTCCTTATCGTTAATTACCAAGTGGTACGTTACTCAACATATAGTATTTTGTTACCGGGCTTATGTAGAGTATTCTGTGCTGAGAATCCTACATTGTACCAAAATATAATATTGAATAAAGCCATTAATAATGATATTATGCTCTATCAACCCAAATCGATGTGAATTAATGATTGGCGAAAAAGGTTATACATTGACAAGCAGTTTTTTTCATGTCATGTTGTGCATACCTCATTTACAGCTTTACTGGATCATCTAAACATTCACCAGCACTAAAATTAGTCGATCTTATATTTACGGACGGACCTCAACATCATTACTAAAATGCTGGTCATCGGTGGCAAATAGCACTCTTCAGTAACGTAAAAATTACGACTTTGCTGTCGTATCCCGGTACAGATTCACAAGGTAATCAGTTAAAATACGTGTTTAGAATATTATTGTGTTTTACTGTCTTAATGATTCCAGTAACAGTACAGTGACATATGTGACCAAATATCTGTCAGTTACGTATATCTTTTACTCTGTTTTACAGCCGTAAACTAGCAAAAAATATCGCTGATCAGTATGCTCGTCTTTTTTATGGTAAATAATGAGTAAACAGTTAAAAGTCTGCGTATATACTGTTGAGTGAGGGTTAATACTGGCATTTACTCGAGTTAAATTAGTTCAGGTCTGTTTCATATTAAATTCTATGGTCAACAGTCCTAAAGCCAAGCGATTAAGCTATGTTTACTTAAATAAACACTATTAGCATTCACCTTATGCATACTGTTTTCTTATCGGATTCCGTCACAATGCACAATTTCCTAACCACCTATGAAAATTAAGAGTACTGAGTTTATATGAAACTGTAATTGACAAATTTCGAATGAATACATACCTACGTCTTCCATCTATATGATACTAGACTAATTCATACAGGGATATATGGATAGTGATCTTAGATAAGACATTTACTCATATAGCACTTCTCACGATGGTGAGCATCTGGCATATCAATAACCATGCATTATATGTGGTTGTTTATTTTTTCTTTCAAAGTATTGACCTTTCATTGTTTCTCGTTTCAATTATTTAAATAACATTGATATTGTTTCCTTATAATTTATTTGTTTCTAGAGTCCCAGTTGAATTACCTAGTGCATGCTATTTACAAAATGTTTTTCTTGAAAGACTCGAAGTCAACAGATCAGTCAATGCTACCACAGACCTAACGTTACACCTTGTTGCTCAAGGTATATCGTTGTTTGTTTTTTCATGTGACGTTTTGGTGTTTTTATTGGTTATACTTTGATTCTACTATGAAATACTTATTGATAAGCATTATATTCCTAATTCAAACTTTTGAAATATGTTGGTAAATGAGTGTAACAGGATTTTAATACTTTATTTAACATAAGAGCTTTAATACCAAAATCAATTCAGTGAGTCAGTCATAAGCAGTATAAAACCTGCCGCTTATGTATCAGTTCAAGTTCCCACTCTCTATCACTACAATGAGATCAAATAATTAAGATAAACAGAGTGGCAAAGTAATAAGAGTAGGAGTGATAGTAGATAAGATCAAGCATAGACAATATAATTCGAGACGAGGAGAGGGATTTGCAATGTAAAAGAAAAACTAAAATGATTGCGCTGGCTACCTTACAAGATATCTCCATTTTTAATTCAAATGTACTCGAGATAAATAAGAGAGACTGATAAAATTGCTTTCTTAATATAATACAACCTGTTATTTAAAACCATCACAGATTAGACTCCTATTATTTATTGCCCCCTGAATGCCCTGGTACGGCCGAGAGTGGGGAGAGTCCGCTCTCCCTCTCGAAATGCTCTCACACGGCCACGCGTATATAGCCTCTGCCAGGGAAGTCCTACTCATTGCCTTCTCGTGGCGGGGGTGTTGTTTACGAAAATGAGAGGACGAGAAGCGAATGTCCGGCGCTTTAACCGGATTCCAAACCAATGGTGCACATGGGCTCCAGTATCCTGCGGGAACGAATGGCGTATGAACCAATCGTTGGTCACCGGCTACCATGGGACTGCATCTCCTTACGATGCTCCACTGCCTTGTGGGTTAGACCTTTAGGTCAAAGGCTCGGGGAGTGGCCCCCTAAGATAACCACCTGCTTCGGTTTGGGCACCCGGGCAGTATCACAGCCCACACACAAATGATGAACTGTTTATGTCTATGGAAACTACTTTTGTCGCTTTGAAAAACAATCAATTGATTCAAATTATGATCACTTCAATTATTGTCATTATTAATACTAATATTATTATTACTACTATTATTGTCATTATTGTTATTATTATCATTATTATTATTATTTTCCACATTATTCACCTTCTTTTATACTTATACAGCGGCTCGTCTTTGGTGGAATTCCGACTGTATCTAAACGTTCTCGAGTCACTGTCCGGTTGAAAATTGTATGTTACCACCGAATACGAGGACTGAAGCAGATTTTCTGAAACCACGTGCACCATTCAAACTGGCTGCCTTCAACGTTCGCACATTTATGCAGGTCGGACAACAGATAGGGCTGGCTATGTCTTTGGAAAGTCTTAATATCGACGTGTGTTGTCTATCCGAGACCCGTATTCAAGACTCTGGCGAAGTACTACAAATTCGATCTCCATCTGTCGCTTCGAAAAGCTTGTTTTACGTGGGACCCTGTGGCATCTTCGTCTGGTTTTGCTGGCGTTGGTGTCGCACTAAGCGCTAGAGCTGAGGCAGCACTAGTCGATTGGATCCCCATTAACAGTCGGTTATGTGCTGTTAGATTAGAAAGTTCCATCAAAGTGAGAAGAAATCGGCGTGAGAAACGATGTCTTTTCGTCATCTCCGCCTATGCCCCGACAGATTGCAGCCCGGATGCAATCAAGGATGAGTTTTACCACCAGTTATCAGTTCTTCTCCAGAAAGTGCGTTCGACAGATATTGTAGTACTAGCCGGAGACTTGAATGCTCAGGTCGGGCGTCTAGGCACAGAAGAGAGTCGTTTAGGTGGTCGATGGGGACTCGTTGGTCGCAGGTCAGATAACGGGGACCGTCTACTGCAACTTTGCGCAGACCACAACCTGTTTCTGGCTAGCACTAACTTTCGGCACAGTCATCGCCGATGTGCCACCTGGCGTCCTCCCTCTGCATCTCAAGCCTGGACTCAGATTGATCACATCGCGATCAGCTACCGCTGGCGTGGTTGTGTACAAGACTGCCGCTCCTTTTGGAGTACCTATCTGGACTCTGACCATGCCTTGGTCTGCGCCAATCTTGCCTTACTTTTCAGTGGACAACGAAGTGAACGCCATCAACGGATTGATGTTAGCAAGCTGGTTGCAACTTCTGTTGCAAGTAAGTATCGAACCGAGCTAGCCTCTAGGCTAGCTACCACTCCACCGAAAAGTATAGATGAGCATTGGTTGCAATTGCATGACGCCATGAAAATGGCGGGAACAGTCAGTTGTGGGTTTGCGAAACGTCCCGCTTATAAGCACTGGGTTTCTTCTGGTTCCTTACAACTCATTGAAGCCCGTCGGTCTACTCCGGGTAACCGTGAGTTTGACCATAAACGAAGGTTTTTACGTAAGGAAATCGGGCAAAGCTTGCGTAAGGACCGAGAAGCCTGGTGGTCGATGCGTGCTAATGAGCTGGAAGCAGCGGCTGCATCTGGTAACTACCGGAAGCTCTTCCAACTCATCCGAGCCACTGGCAGCAAGAAGTCTGGTGTGAGTGAAACAATCTGCGAGGATGATGGGATGCCAATCACTAACATCCATCGACGTCTTGGACGATGGGCAGAATTTTTCGAAGGGCAGTTCAACTGGCCTGCTGCTCCGGTAACATCGGTCAGACTGTCCTGCCCTCCATGGCCGGTGACGACTGATCCACCAAATGAGGAGGAAGTCCGCAAGGAACTCCAACTCTTGAAGCGTTACAAATCACCTGGCCCAGATGACTTACCTCCGGCTCTTTTTAAAGATGGTGGTGACTTTTTGACTAAGGAATTGACGACGTTGTTTACAAAGGTTTGGGATCTAGAGAGTGTACCAACGTCATGGAATGAGTCGATAGTTGTCCCTATCTTTAAAAAGGTTCACGTCGTTCTTGTAACAACTATCGGGGGATAAGTTTACTTCCGATTGCGTCCAAGCTATTGGCTTCCGTCATACTTCGTAGGTTGTTCAAAACCCGAGAAAGATTGACTCGCGAGGAGCAGGCTGGGTTTCGTTCTGGTCGAGGATGTATTGATCATATCTTCACCCTCCGCCAAATGTTAGAACACCGCCATACTTTTCAAAGGCCAACAATCGTAGTGTTTCTTGACATCAGGGCTGCCTTCGATTCGTTGGATAGGACTGTTCTCTGGGATTGTCTATTGAAGAAGGGTGTGCCTGAGAAGTTTATTAACATCCTAAAAGCCCTGTATAAAAACACCTCAGGCAGAGTGAGGGCATACAACCACCTCTCTCCATTGTTCCATTCGAGCAGTGGGGTTAGGCAGGGTTGCCCAATCTCACCATTCCTCTTCAACTTTGCCATCGATGACATTCTGGAAACAGCTCTGATGAATGTAAGTAATGGTGGTGTGGATCTGTTGCCTGGAGAAAGACTTCTCGACCTTGAGTATGCGGACGATATTGTCTTACTGTGCGATAATGCCCAAGGCATGCAATCCGCACTTAATCAGTTGGCAATCAATGTCCGTAGGTATGGTATGTGCTTTGCACCTTCGAAGTGCAAAGTACTTCTACAAGACTGGCAGGATTCTAATCCTGTACTCACTCTGGATGGTGAGCAGATAGACGTAGTTGAGAAGTTCGTGTATCTGGGTAGCTACATAAGTGCTGGTGGGGGTGTGAGTGATGAGATCAATGCACGAATAGTGAAAGCCAGAGCGGCTTATGCCAATCTGGGCCACCTTTGGCGCCTTCGTGATGTTAGTCTGGCTGTAAAAGGCCGGATCTACAACGCGTCGGTGAGAGCAGTTTTGCTCTATGCTTGTGAAACCTGGCCTCTCCGAGTTGAGGACGTTAGACGACTCTCTGTGTTCGATCATCGCTGTCTCCGAAGGATTGCTGACATTCAGTGGCAACACCATGTCAGTAATGCAGAGGTTCGGCATCGTGTGTTCGGGCACAGAGATGATAATGCAATTGGTGTCACCATCTTGAAACACCGACTTCGGTGGCTTGGACATGTTCTCCGAATGTCGTCCCAGAGAATTCCACGTCGTGCATTATTTGCCGACTCTGGGACTGGTTGGAAGAAGCGGAGAGGTGGTCAGTGCATGACATGGTGTCGTGGCATGAAAGAAAGCTGCAAAGGACTGGCTTGTGTTGGTCCTTCACGACTCCCTGGCTGGGGTCCGAGAGATGGTGCAACACAGTGGCTAGAGACGTTATCAGATATGGCTCAGAATAGAAGCCAGTGGCGATCCTGCTGTAACCTTCTTTTACTTTCTTCATAAAAGTGGTTGTATCTTACTTAACTGAAAGATTTCTTCTGATTGTACCTCTTAGTCATTACTCTCTTTTTCTTTTGCGTTCCTTAGTTTTTTTTTTCTTTCTACTTCTCTTCGAATTCCCATTGTTTTGTGTGGCGCATATATATTGGCGCTCTCTTGTACCAATATTTATGTGTTCAAATAAATAAATAAATAAATAATATTATTTATTACAGTTTTTATAGTATTAGTTTCCTGACTAATTTGAATGTAAAGCTGCTCAATGCTAAATAACAATTGGTAAAAGAATCACACTCAATAATAAATGTAATGTTACTATTTGATTAGTATTTGATTGCTGTATTGTACGATCAGTACAGCACACACATATCAAATGAGATTTGTGTGGCTCATATGTATTTGGTGCCTCCTCGTACCAATATCTATGTGTTAAAATAAATTAATAGTACAGTTATTCCCTTTTTGAGACTAAAATGTTCTCATTTTTTAACTCTAGTTTTACTGAGTAACATTTAGTCTACTCATCCATATTTGTTTTCCTCATTTTTGCAGATTTAAACGTGAATCCAACTCGTGAACCTCAAATCCGTCGGTTTACTCGCTCTTTAACTTTTGGAGATTCTGTTCAGGTTTGTGATTAGGCACTATGCTGTTGTCAAAGCGGATTTTGTTAGAATTATTTTTAAACCTTGTGTTTGATCGACCCCTTCAGTTTTTACTAATCTAGTTGACGTGATTGTTAAATTACGTGTTCAGGTAGAAATTATGCTTAAACGTTTTATTGTAAAGAAATCTATGAGGTCTAGTGACAACTTACGGTTACCCAAACTAAAGTAGATGGGGTGGGCTTGAACTTGTGACTTGGAGACTAAAAGTTAAACGTCTGAACCACATGAAATTTCGATGCTGGTTGTCAGCTTTATAAAAGTGTAGAAACAGCTTTATGCGATCATAGTCAATTTTCATCAAAGGTGTATGACCCCTTTAACTTTTATATTCGCTTTTTGAATCTGGTAAGATCATTAACAATAGTCCAGTCTCTCAATTATCGTTTTGTCGATAAACTATCTTATCATGATCGGAAAGTGAGGTTAGACGCAGGGTATTAGGGAATGATGGTAAATCAGTTGATGAGGTTGTTAATCTTCACCGACTAAGATGGTTGGGCCACGTGTTACGTATGCCTGAATACCGATTACCACGACGTGCGATGCTAACTGGTGCTGGAGATGGTTGGAGGAAAGTTAGGGGCGGCCAAACCAAAACGTGGCATCAGTGTTTGAAGTCACTAACTTCTAGTCTGAGCCATGTTGGTAAAAGCAGACTACTTGGTTGGTGTCCGCGTGACGTGGTCCTATTTTCTTCCTCTTCGTTCGGGGCTAGTTACGATTGGGTAAACCTTCAGTCATAGAGTATCAGTCTTCCTCGTCCTTGTTGAGTATTCGTTTCTTTAGGTTGTTTATGAGTATTGGTCGTTCTTAACACATAACACGATGCTTCTTGAATCCTTGTCAATTTTTAAATATTTCTCTTAAAAATTTTACAATATCGTTTTTAGTCTCTCAATATATGCTACTTAAATAGCACTAATAGTATATCTTTATTTTTCAATGTTTTCTTCCAATCAGGATGTACTTTCAGCTTTAGGTTCTCCAAGTCGTGTATTTTATAAAACTGAAGATAAAATGAAAATTCATCTTCCTCAATCTCATCGACTTGTGCAACCTAGAAAATCGGATTATTTTTTCAACTATTTTCCACTTGGCTTAGATATATTATTTGATGCCCAAACACATGAAGTAATGAAATTTGTTTTGCATACAAATCAACCAGGAGAGTATACATTTAACACGTACGTGTTTCTATTGCCTTTTCTCAGAAAAAAAGAGAAAAACAATTACTGGGCATTGTGCAAATAGTTTCCTGAGGGTAGTGTGTAATTTTGGTATTTAGTTAAGCTTAATTAAATCAATGTCTTCGAATAATGTCGCAAACATTTATTTATTTGAACACATAAATATTGGTACAAAGGGGCACAGAATACATATGCGCCACGGAAGTCACTTGATTTGTGTGCGGGCTGTGATACTGCACGGGTGCCCAGACTGAAGTAGGTGGTTTTCTTAGAGGGCCACACCAGGAGCCTTCAAACCGAAGGTTTAATCCACAAAGCAGTGTAGCAATGTCAGGAGATACAGTTCCATTGTAACCGGTGACCAACGATAGGTCCATACGCCATTTCTTTCCTCAGGATCCTGTATACCATTTGCACTATTAGTTTTGAATCAGTGTTTTTCGACTCCCCTAGGTGGACACGAAGGGCCCACCAATCTAGTTTAAGCGCCGTCCTCTCGAGTTCGTAAACATTACCTCCGCCGCGAGAACGCAGTGTGTAGGACTTCCGTGGTAGTTGCTGTATACGCGTGGACATGTGAGAGCGTTTCGAGAGGTAGAGCTGACTCTCTCCACTCTCGGCCGTACCTGTTTTTTGGGGGGCTGTCGCATACAATTACTATTCAACTGTACGCTACCTTTAGTCCTCATTTACCTATTTTCTTTCATTTATAGAACAACGGTACAAGTATTTAACATTTTAACATTTCCAACATCGTCAACTATATCAAGATATTCTTGTTAAGGTAATAAATAATAAAATGATATATTTGGGCAAGCCTGATAGTTAGGCAATAATTTCCATTGGCGAATGAATAGCTTTTAATTACTAAATCATCCAATCGTTTATTTGTTAAATGAATTCTAATTGTTTTTGTGTATAATACTTTGTACATATGCGTGTTATTTTGTTAGATGAAAAATCTATCGTACTAGGCAGCTGTCTTCTAATGTCAATTCGATCTGGAACTTACATGTATAATCCAGTCTCGTGAGCAGTTATCATTTCGCACATTATCTCGTTGCTCATTATCATTTAATCAAAACCCTTTTTTTTTTCTTTAATCGTTAAGAATCATAAAAGGCCTAATTTATAACATATATGTTGTTTTGTCCTTTTAAGGCTTAAATTGACACAAATCTAGAATTTTTTATCTTAGCTACTAAAGTATCCATGTCTTCATTTAACTTTGCTTCTTCATATATAGTTACTCTTTTTTTTACTGTAAATCTATACCTTATTTCAGAGAGGTACAATGTAATTTTTACACAGTTATCTCTTTACTTTCATAGATATTATCGATGTCTTTTTGAAATACCAATTCCTATTGTAAAATCATCTAAAGAGAATACAAATACTGAAATTGATGAAACAGATAATGTAATAAATGAAACAAAATATTTAGTAACACCATTCTCAAAAGTAAGCAAATTCATTAAGTTTGGTATATAACGTCAATCTATTTACAAATCTTATTAGGAAATATTGTGATTTAGCTAGCCAATATTCTATAATGAATTCTTAAGCTTTAAATTAGCTAATAAAATAGCTATCATGTTTTATTTTAGTGTAACTCATTGCGATCATATCAAAGTCGACTTAATCTATTAACCAGTAAGGAGAATGATGAACAACCGCGAGGTTAGACATCATGTCAGAAGTAAAATAATTAAAACAAATAACAGACACACAATAATGACCCACAATTAACCAAATTCGTGGTCAGCAAAACAAGTTATTAACAGTTGTAGGAGAATTCTAATAACATACTTCTAATTGAAGTATGTCCCAATGATGTTATCGAGAAAAACAATAAAAGCTTCGTAATTTAGTCATGCAGCTAGCAAAACAAAACATTTTAAGAATCCTCATTTTGAAGTGCAACTATTCACTGCCGTTTCATTGGGGACGTGTTGATTAAACCACTTCTCCAAATTTTATGATCTGTAGGGTCTAATGAAAAATCTGAAGTGATCAGTGTTTTGACATGAATATGCTAGTTAAATTAAGTTATAGAATATGTATTTTTGTTGTTTAAAATACAACAACTATTGGAATTACCATAATGTCCACAAAAACCCCTTCTGATACTAATCAACATATGCTCGCTAGTGACTGACTTCAAGAGATATCTCCTGGAGCTCTAGTGAGAAGCAGTGACCAGTGGAGTTCAACCAGGTCTGTTGTGAGACAGTAACTCACTGAAGACAATGGTGGTTGTGTCGCTCAATTCCGTGGATTAATTGAAGTTAGACATTAATACTGTTGAATGCCGACCGGCTCAGTGGTCTAGTGGTTAGGCGCTCCCGGGGGAGACTGATAGGTTCTGAGTTGGAATCTTGAGAGGTGGGATCGTGGACGCTCACTGCTGAGAAGTCCCACAATAGGACGAAATGGACGCCCAGTGCTTCCAGGTTTTCCATGGTTGTCTAGCTTCAATTGACTCATGATCTCAACTATTGAAATTACTATAATATTCACGAAAACCTGAAACTAAACTAAAAACTTTTAAAAATAAATGTGTATAGAATCGTATAATTAGCTGAAAATTAATTGCAAACTTTCATGGTTGTTATTACTTTTTTTAAACTTTTACTCAATAATATTAAAATAATACAAAAGTGGTCTGATATTCGACAACATTTAATTTCATCAATGGATACTGAACCAGTGGTTATTTATAGAGAATCGAAACCACAACAGAATCCTTTTGGTCCAACACATGCATACGGTTATCAGGATATTATATTTGAAGTAAGTTTAGTGTGATCGAACTTTCATTTTCATATTTGATATTGTTTATGTTTTGTATTGAACTTCATCGGTCGTAAATGATGTGTATTTCAAATCATTTGACTACGTAAATTTATACTTGCACTAGATCGACTTTGTTTTTAGGAAAGCAGAAAGATCATTAATCTTACTTGACTCTATAAACTTATATAGGTAATGTACAGTTAAGGGTTGAATAAATATAGCACTCGAATGTCAACCATAGACTTATAGTTTCGCAATGGAGGATGATGTCTGTCTATCCTGTGATCTTATTTGTCCATTGGAATTCATTTGCTTCTGCAGTCATTTTTCATATAAAAATGTCTTAACAAGTACCTTATGTGTGACCAGGTTGTTCGAAATGTATTGCTGAAATATATCGCATAATTCTCATAAACTTCGTCTTCTCATTACATTATCGAAATTTATCAAAGAGGCTAATTATAAGCAAAGACGGATAGTGGCTAGCAATGGAATCCGGGACGCGCGTTTCGTCCTATTTGAGACTCGTCAACTGGGTGTACCTGCATCTCAGAGTTGATGTTCATTCTGGGACTCGAACCCAGTACCGTCCGCTTCAAACGCCATCGCGTTATCCACTTAGCTTATAATGCTTGTAAATTAAGGCAATATCAAGACAATACACAGTATGCACATATGCCAGCTGCAGTCCTAAACATCAATGGGAAGATTCAAGTAAAAAACAATACCATGTGAATTAAAAAGACTAATTGTTTTAAATTTCTAAAAAGAAGACTCCTGTTGAGGCTAATGTCCTCTATATCTGACTCCAATAAATAATATTCCGTAAACCGAGTATTTAAGGTAGGCTTAATCTCCTAGCAGAATTACGGATTTACTCGAGATTATTCAGAAGCCTGAACACCCGTTGTAGAGATAATTTATTGCTAATGTTTATTAAAAATCCACAAGCGTACAGTCAGCAAGCACACGATGAAACAAAGTGAGTGTGTGCGTGTGTGTTAAAAATCCATATATATTTTTGAGAGTTAATCGAGTGTGGATAAATTATCGATTATCTGCACATCGCAACCAATAGGAGGATAGTTTAAGGGTTAATGTGCAGACATGCATTCGATCATACACACCGAAATTAACATAGTGAATTAAGAGTCTGAAATGCACACAAACTAACATGATGAATTAAGTGTCTGAGTTACAATGAATAGACAAATGATACAGTGGCCAAATGGGCTTGCTACACTCCCTACACAATGTATAGTTTGAGACCGACTACATAGATCTGTACTTGATAATGTTTATGTTTCATCATTATGAATTCAGGTATTATCTATTTTCTCTGATACTTATTAAATAATTATCATCTTATGAATATTTCTTCCCCTATATATATACATAGATTATTCCAACCAGTGAATGTATAGCATCAGTAACATTATATACTCCAATTCATCTATCTAAAACCTAGTTACCAAGTATCCAATCAACAACAAGGAACAATATGTTGAACATTAGCCAACAGAAAAAAACTCCCATTTCAGATTATAATTATTTTCTCTTTAAATAACTGCTAATTAACTTATTGTTCTAGTTTATGTATTATTTCCCCTTTTCTTCAAAAGAGAATCTATAATATCTACAAAATTCTTATTCCAATATTCTTCCATAACTTGTAATTAATCAAAACCATTATTTCATAATAAAACATCCATTTTGTAACTGTTCATTACATATAATAATGATTTGTTTAAAAATTGTTTAACTATAGATCGTACTTTTGATTGAGATCATGAACCGATTAATATTAAACCACCGTTGGAAACCTGGAAGCACTGGACGGCCGTTTCGTCCTATTGTGGGACTCCTCTCTGACAGTGCGCATCCACGATCCCGCTCACGGGATTCGAACCCAGGGCCTTTAGTCTCACGTGCGAACGCTTAGTTACTGGACCACTGGGCCAGAATATGCTATGTGTTGTGCAATAAGTCAACTAATCAATTGGTAACAACTATCAAAAAACTTATCTAACTAACACAATATTTTCACATATCAAAAGGGTTTTTTGTGGATATTATAGTAATTTTAATAGTTGAGATCATGAGTCAATTGAAGCTAGACCATCATGGAAAACCTGGAAGCTTCAATTAACTCATGGTCTAAACTATTAAGATTACAATATTTTCTCGTAAACTATAAGCCTTTTAACAGAGCTGAAAGATCCGAGACTTATCCTGTAACGAAGTGAATGTGAGGTCTCATAAAAAGCATCAAACTAAGATAAAAACATCAATGGATCACTCTTTTATTCTCATTAGTTCTTCAAATAACCTTTCTATGATGCAACTTATATTTTAAAAAAAGTTAAATGATTCAATATGAAACTGTGTGTAACTAATTAAGCAAATGAGAATCCCAATCAATATATTGCCTTTCTTTCTTGCGGAAACTTTGTTATAACTTGTGACCTGTGTACCCTGTTAATGTGTAACGTAATGATACATCCAATTAGAGAGCAGTGAATTATCGACCGGACCAATGACGCACAAAACAAGTAGGAGCAGTCTAGAGTACTTATCGGTTTTGCTTACCGCCTAGCCCAGCCTGTTAAGTCCAGAGCACCAATCTCAGCCTCTGCGATATGAATCTTTTATTTCAAACAGACTAGGTTTTTATACCAACCAAACAGACCACAACGTACCAATAAAATATGAAACAATATTTGTACAAGATTTAGCCAAATGTGGTTGTGAATGTGGGAGGTATTAATTGATAGACAGGGTATAATTCAAGAATGGTAAATCCTATAATAATGGTTCATAGATCAAAATAAAGCTCATAATAAAAGGGACATGAATATGAATAGTTTAGTCATTTAACAATTATACGATAAAAATATATGTATAGTATTAGATCAGAAATAGATTCCAACAGTTACCATTCATTATTCTCGTCGGGATATAACAAACTTCAGTTGAACACTGAAATAAAATGGAAGTTCTTCATGGACATAAACTTTTTCTACATATGGTCCCTAAATAACTTGATGACGCCGAGGAAGGAAAAATTTGGTTTTCCTTCTTGAGACAATCTCACATAATTATTTCAATTGTCTACGTTTTATTTATAAACTTACCATAATTTTTTACAGGAAAAGATATTTACACTAGTTTACGTAGGTTTGGTACATTGTTGTTCAATCTTTGTTCAGTGAATGTAAATACTTTCCGAATTCTGAAGCAGGTATAACGTATACAAAGGATAATACTATAATCCGAGATCTTCTACAAACTCCTGTATTCCTCAGTGATCATGAGGGTCATTTAAACTGAATGTAAAAACTTCTTCATAGAATACATATACAAAAAGTACTTCAAATACATTGTTGCGTTGGATATAATGTGAAATATCTTACTGTTATAGAGTATAATACAAAAATAAAGTACAAATTCACAACTAAACTTGACTCAAAATACAACTACTCACACAAAAAATTGTTTATAACTATATGTTAACTTTTAAATATGTAGATAACGATAAAAAAGTTAACAGAAATAGTAGGTCGGTAAACACTTGGAATGTATATTGTTCATACATGAATTTCACTTATAATGCAGGCACAATAAGTTAGCATCAAGTTCCTACCCTTTTCAGAACTTCATCTTGTAGAAATCTTATTTCGCTTAGTAATAACTACACTATTTCTATGGTTATTTTCATTGACAACAAGATTACCGCTACTATCAGGTTTATCAGAATTTCATTCATTTACAAATGTTCGTCATAAACGGTATATTTGTTACCAATTACTTATAAATAGTTGTCTACCCAAGGTACTCAACTTCCATTGACCGGATACCATCAGTAACAGCTTTCTGAAGGAGAGAACAAACCAGCTGAAGAGGAAATTAGGAAAAGACGATGGAAATGGATAGGAATCCTGAAGGCAAGCGGAAAAAAGGAAGGCCAAAGAACACAATACGTCGGGAAATAGAAGCAGATATGATTAGGATGAATAAAAACTGGAAAGGGTTGCTTGGGACAGGGTTGAATAGAGAGAGTTGGTGAGCTTAACACATCGCCCACATTTTGACAGTCGAATTGTTGTCACCTAAAAAACTTTTATCTTAATGCCCCTTAAACAAATTCCCACCAAAACAATTTGTAATCAAGTATTGTAGCGGTAAATAAATAGCTCTGTAAGTTTTTGACATTGGATGCTGACCAGATTAGTTTTAGTGGACTCACCTAGCTGAAGGCGCTCGGTCATGCATCCGCACCAGATCACGTTTGGGAACGCCGTGCTCAACATCTACTGCAATCGCTAGCCAGACTAGATCAGACAATTCCGATATATTGGCAATCGTCGAACACAACTTCTGATCTCCTCGATTCTGTCTTTTGATTTCTCTTGGTGGGTACAAGTTATATCAGAAGGTGTTACTGGTAAAAGCGTTGTCAAACACTGAATACTTGTGCCATCTTCAGTATCAAGATATACTTCGTGTTAAGTGCACTTAACCTGGTTCAAGCAAAATAGAAACCAGTAAATGTTATGGTGTGAAGAAATAGTAGAACATTGGTGCACAAAGTCCCGAGGAAACGTCTACTTCTAACTCGGGCATACTTTGGAACAATGTGACTTGTAACCATTAGGGGACTGTATCTTACTTCTTCACATTCTATTATACTGTACTGTCCTACTGATGTCGACAGATATAAGTAGTATGTATTATCAATCGAAAGTGAAATGACTGGAGGCAGAAGATTAAGAGGATCGAAGAAAATAGAACAAGAACAAAGAATGATTCCCATGGAAATGAAGAACAGTGAAGTTTGAGACGAATGATTGGCATTTCGCAAATGAAGTATTTATTGTATAATTCTCAGATTTTAGTAAGATGTTCTGTAATTTTGTATTCAGATACATTTGATTGTCTCCACTTGTGTTCTCGTTCACTACAATACGAGATGTTTCAGTAATATTTGCGTCGTACATTCTTGATTTGTTTGAAATCCTTAAACCTATAAACGATGATCCCTAAGTCATTGTATGTCTGGACAACTAGCAGCTCAATGTTATTCATTATGTATGTATCCGTACCTTGATGACTAATATGCATCACTAGGAGACATATCCAAGGCATTCGATGATGTCCCACAATATATATGATAAACTGTATTTTGTTGGAATTCGCAATCCCTTACTCAACGGGCTAAAATTATTCTGGATGATAGGTATCAAGTTACCAAAGTTAACTCAAAAACATCAGCACCTAAGAGGGTGACTGGTAAGAATATGGAATGGGTGAACTAGGGCCTCTTTTATTTGTAATGCACGTCGACAGCATTTGTCGTTGCTTTAACTTAGGGACAAGCGTCCTGGACGCTGATGACCTAAAGGTAGTCTCCTTATGCCACAGAGACAAAATACATGACACTGCTAATTTTATACAACAGGAATTAAACAATATGACAGTATGGTGTAGAAAATTCCAACTACAGTTTAATGTTAACAAGTGCAGTGGGATTAATATCAGATTCGACTCTCCCGATTTGGGGGAATTTGAGGGAAGTTTTCTGTCGCATCTCCCCAAAACTTATAGAACTTTCTCCATAATCAGGAGATTGGAATGCATCAACCTGGGCCTCAACTTTGAAGTGGATGGTGTGCCTATATCCGAATTCGATACTATCTTAGACCTTAGTTTGAGATACTCGAATGACCTAAATTTTTCTGAACAAATGATATCAATCAGCTCGTGGGCATGCAAACCTATGGGTTGTATAATTTGTAATTTCCGCAAGCATGAGTGAAAGCTAACACTTTATACAGTTTGTGCATGAATATTGTTTGCTTATGCTCAGTAGCCTTCGTATAGGCGACAAGTTAAAAATCAAAGGTATACGGTTATTCGTCACGAAAAAGACTTTAGGAATGGATTATGATCAGAGCTACTTTGCACGATGTGACATATAAGGGCTGGAACCCCTTTATAAAAGGAGGGTTCGGCCTGATCTTTGATTTTACCTTGAGCTCATACACCGGTTGCCACACTCCTCAAATCCAATGTTCGGCTTCACTGATTTGCTTAATTATAAAACAGTAAATCACACTAAGTTAGACAAAATACAGCATTATAGATCTAAAATGTGACGAACTTTCTTCCTACACATGATTTATATCAGTTGGAATAGGCTACCAGTTGGATCACGGGAAACAAACACAATAAGACACTTTTATTCATGAGTTAAATAGACTTCCAGACGATCCTAAGACACTAGATAAGCTAGCAGTGTATTAGAATTCCAGCGCTTCCGATAAAAAATCTTTCTACCATAAAGGTTGTCATAGCAATTACCTGGAGACCAATAACGAGAAACATCAGAATATATGCCGATTACATATTCGTTACCATATGTGATTATTCAAGGCGGTTGTTCATCGATCAAAGAATCCACAATGAAAA